ATACCAAGATTGCCAGAGCAATCACTGTAGGTGTTACATTTTAGTGATGTTACTGGTGTATACCCGCCGCAACTGTCAAAGAAAGAAATTCTTGGGCAGTTCATTCATTGTTTACAACTAAGGGATGAAACACAGACTGCTCTCCTCATCTGACTCACTAAGCAACTGACCTGTGATTTCAATATTTTTTAAGATAAATGTAATTTTGTTAATTTAGCCGCTACCAGTGATCGAAAGTACGCTGAGTGAGCTACTGGCAAGCCGTGATGACCTGTCCACATTTGAATCATTGCTTAACGCCAGTGGCTTCGAAATGGAGAACGACCGGCTTTATACATTCTTTGCGCCAACCAACGATGCGCTGTCCAACAATCAAATCAAAGCTTTGAAAGCTGATCGAGCACTCAATAACAATTTCGTCAAAACGCATGTTTTCGAAGGTCCGTATATCATTTCATGAATTTTAAAGAATGAATATTTTTTTTAGATTTCTAACTTAAGAACTTAATTCTATTGATAAAAAATTACGTCAAATTTGATAAAAGATTTTTTCAAACAAAACGTAATTCCGAAAAATATAGCGTAAGTCAAATTTCGAAGAAAATTACTGAGTTTTCAAGTTTTGGTTTTTTCAAAAAATTTCTTTCGAATTTTTTTAAATAAATTTTTGAAATTCTTCATTCCTTTCTTCGATTTTTTCGTGCTCCAGCAAATTTGAATTTTTATGCTCTTTATAATAGCTGAGAGCACAGTTAAATGCGGCAGCGTCTTTGCTTTAGAAATGTCAAATAACTCCTAACTTCTGTTTTTTAAATAACCAGCCCCATCATACTTTTGACAACTTAACTAATCATTTTATACTCGCTCTCGAGACGAAACAAAGAGAACCATCAGCGGAGCTTTAGCACCATGTGGCTGTTGTTGTCACTTCTGTCACAGACGGATGTCTCTGCTACCAGTTAGAGTGAAATCCGGAAAGATAGAAGTGCAAAACGAGTGCAAAAAATTAAATTAACCATTGTGGTACGCAACACTGGCGCTGCTCTGCCTGTGTTTACAGCTAAGGGATGAAACAACGACTGCTTCCGGCATATGACAGAAGAATCACTTTTGCAGCGCTACTCTCCCTGTGTTTACAGCTACGGGATGAAACAGACTGCTCCCTTTATGGGGCTGACGAGTCCGATTTTGCAGGATTAATATGCTCGAAAAATTTACGGACAAAAAGAGGCCCGACAGTGCTATTGAGTATGAATGGCGATTTCCATGACGCTAAAACAGACTCCGGCAAAACAATGGTCAGTGGGTCTGAAGTGCAGGTCAGTTATAATGGCATTTAACACTCTTGGCTGACCAAGTGCATATTTTCATTCGAATTTCTACTTATAATAACCATAAATGAGGGATGCCTAAATATCGTTTGACAAATATAATGAAAATCATTAGGGACTAACAACCGTCCTATTGACAAAGTTCAGTTGATGTGCTCAGCAGGAGTTGTGCTCAACACGTTAACACTTTCTTCTTACTTCTTTCCTCTTCTTTTTTTCCTCCTGTCTCCTCCCCCTTAAGGTCATTTTCACTATCACATGACTGTTAGAGGGCTGTACTAATGATTCCCACCCCTAACCGTATTACATACTATTTGTGTTTACAGCTTAGGGATGAAATACAGGCATCCCCTTCTTTTACATACTACTTTTCACATGATCCTTTTAAATGACAAACGGTTTACATACATTTCCCACTTAACAATCTTCTCTAGCCTTAACCCTTTCGAATATATTACTTCGTCCTTTGTTTTCCATTCATATGATGCTGATAGGGCCTCCACGGCCCGTACTGCCTTTACACGACTTCAAGAGTTTTATGTGAC